GACATCATGCTTTGTAAAGTGGAGAGTCAATGAAAAAGAGGAAGACTCCCAACAATGATGGTAGCAGCAATGTTCTCAAATATACCAGCAATTGTGAGAATGACCCAGGATAGGGCAGTGTTTCATTCTGTTGTCCATAGGGTCCCTAGGAGTCTAAACCAAGTGGATGGCACCTAACACCAATAACAATCCTACTTCAGTGCCAATCTGGAATGAAAATGCATAATGTACTTTAACCATCTGTAAAATGGGTATATACAATCTGACCACCTAAATATCCAAAATGCATAAAGTTAATGATATCCTGGGATACAACTTCATCTTGACACTCAGGTGATGAGGAAATGGGACAGAAAACTGAAACTTTTTTTTTTTTTTTTTTTTTCTTTCTGGTTTCCCTTGCCATCCATCTGGTTAAATATAACCTAAAACCACAGTAAAATCAGCAAGTCTGTGTACGTTAGACAAGCAGGAAGAATTTAAATTTCCAAAGGACCCCATATCTTTGACTTGCTCCATTACTAATATTACCTGTTGTCATTATTATGCACACATACATACCATCCCAGGCAGCCGATATCTATTACTGACCTCACATGAGGTTTTAATTTCATTCTTTGTGAATTCTTTATCTTTCAAAAGTCTACCATTCTTCCCACATTTTATAAATGCCTTGTTTATTCTGTCCCCGGACTTGACTATTCTTATCAGGTTCTTGGTAGTTTTGCTTAATAATGTCCTAACAATCTTTAGTATTTTTCCATATGTAGAGGATGATGAAGAGTTGAGGGGTTGAGAGTCAAAGGCCGGGACATTAGCAATGTCAGGATATACAGCAATGTCAGCAGTTCGAAACTACCAGCTGTTTCTCGGGAGAAAGATGAGGCTTTCTGCTCACGTAAAGATTTACTGCCTCGGAAACCCTGTACAGGGTTGCTATGAGTTGGAACTGACTCCACAGCACATAACTACCACCACCACTCCTATTTCAGGCTTCATGAAAAGTTCTGTTGTTGTTGTTGTTAAGTGCTGTCAAGTTGATTCCAACTCATAGTGATCCTGTATAGGGTTTCCAAGAAGCAGCTGTTGAGTTTGAACCACCGACCTTGCAGTTGAAACGATTTTGCAGTCTGACGCATGAGCCCACAGAGCCACACCAGGACTCCATGAAAAACCCTACCATTGCTCTATTCCCTGTTAGTTAAGATGCTGAATCCCTAATCTTATGAATCTTGTCCTCAAATTCTAAAAGCTCATATCTCTCAGTTGATATACATCATTACATATTCCTCTTCTCTAAAACGTTCTTCTCCCATTCTGTCACCTGGTTCTCCGTTAGTTATTCAGTTTACTTAAATTTAAAAATATCTTTCTCTAACTTAACATTTATCTTGTAATGACTGTGATTTCCTAAAAATTAGACATTTATGTGCACTTAAGGCGTTCTGGTGTGGCACTGTAGGATAAGTACTGGACTGCTAACCACAAGGTTGGCAGTTGAAACCCATGAGCTGTTCCTTGGAAACCCTATTCATAGTCACTATGAGTAGGAACCAACTTCAGCACTTAATAATAACAACAATAGTTAATGATCATGAGCATTTCTTCATATGTTTGTTGGCTACTTGAATGTCTTATTCGGTGACATATCTGTTCATATTTGCCTGTTTTTAAACTGGATTATTTGTCTTTTTCTTGCTGAGGTGTTGAAGTTTTCTATAAATTTTAGAGATCAGTCCCTTGTTTAATATGTCATTGTTGATTTTTATTTCCCCAGTCTCAGGGTTCCCTTTTCACTCTTTGGTGAAATCTTTTGATGTGCATTATTGTTGTTGTTAAGTGCTGTCAAGCTGGTTCTGACTCATAGTGACCCTGTATAAGGTTTCCAAGGAGCAAGTGGTGGGTTTGAACCTCAGCCTTCTAGTTCAAACCGGCCTTATGGTTCAGTGCTTGTCCTAAAGCACCAAACCAGAACTCTGTTAACAATTGTCATTATTATTGTTGTTAAGTCCCATCTAGTCAGTCCTGACTCAAAGCAACCCTAGTTAGGGTTTCCAAAGAGCAGCTGGTAAGTTAGAACTGCTGACTTTATGGTTTGTATATCAGTGCTGATCCTACAGTGCCACACCAGGAGTTCCATAGAGAGATGCAAATCTAAATACCAATGAGATACCATCTCACCCCAGCACTAATAGTTAAAGTTCAGAGAAAAAAATTAAACAAAACAGAAAAACAACAAATGCTGGCAAGTGTGTGGAGAGACTGGGACTCTCCTACACTGCTGATAGGACTATAAAACGGTGCAATCATTGTGAAAAATGGTATGGTGCTTCCTCAAAATGTTGGAAATAGTATGATCCAGTAATCTTTCTAGTTGATATATGGTGGTGGTGGTGGTGGTATGCCATGGAGTTGATTCTGACTCATAACAACCCTGTATAGGGTTTCTGAGGCTGCATATCTTTACAAGAGCAAAAAGCCTCATCCTTCTCCCCAGGAGCATCTAGTGAATTTGAACTGCAGACCTTGTGGTTATCAACCCAATGTATAACCATTACACTATCAGGGCTCCTTATATGCTATTTAGCCTTACAAAATAAGAGCTATGATCTGAATAGATATTTGCACACCCGTATTCACCGCAGCACTATTCATAAAAGCAAAACTTTGGAGACAGCCTAAGTACCCACCAATGGCAGAATGGATAAAGAAGCTTTGGTACATACACACAATAGAATAAAAAAACACACACAATGTTGAAGAACAATTGATGAATCTGTGAGGCACAGATTTATAACATGGAGGAGGCTGGAGGATATTATGCTGAATGAAATATGCCATTCATGAAAGAACAAATATTGTATGAAACCACTGTTACAAAAAAGTCAAGAAAAAGTTTTCATGCTGCTAAAAGAAACACTTTTTGATGGTTACCAGGGCTGGTATGGAAGAGAGAGGTTAATGTTAAGTGCCATTGAATCATTTTTAACTCATACTGACCCTATATAGGTTTGCAAGGAGTGATTGGTGGGTTTGAAGTGCCTGCCTCATTGTTAGCAATCCAGTGTTTATCTCACAAGCCATACCAGGACTCCTAGAGGCATAGACAGGTGATAGAGAAAGCAATATAAAACCAGGGAGATTGGCAGAAAAAGAATAAAATCCAGGGGAAGACACAAGGAGGAGTACAAGATTTAGAATAAACAGAGTTAAATACTGTTATATGCAAAATGCTATAATAATTGATCTGTGGGTAGATACATGGATAGATACACAGGCTAAATGAATATGAGAGGGAGAATAGGCATATACTCAAAATACATAAAATTTTAACAAAAGGATATTTGTACATGGATATTTACCTTTGCTGCAAATATATCCAAGAATGTAGAGGAACATACAGGAAGCAAAATTATGGAAATTTATTAAGCAGTATCAAACACCTGAGTGAATGAGTTGCTGGGAGTGGAGGATCAGGACCATAGTCTTAGGAGATACCATGATCAATTGGCATAACATTGTCCACAAGCACAATGTTCTACATCCTACTCTGATGAATAGTGACTGGGATCTTAAAAGCTCATGAGTGGCCACTTAAGGTGCAACTATTGGTCCTTCTTTGGGCAGAGGAAAGAAGAGTGATGAAAACTGAAGACACTTGGCATCAATTAATATGCTGGACTAATGGAAAATGTGAACTTCAGTGAGCCTGCTGGTGCCTGGCAACCATATTAGAAGGTCCTGATAAAATATGGAACAAAACTCAAAATCAAAGAAAAGACCAGGTTTACTGGTCAGAAAGAGACTGGAGGGACCTGAAATTATGGTCTGCAACTGAACTCACCCTCATGGTCGTTATCCATAAACCATGGCATTGTCTAGTACAAAAACAGCCAAGATTGCCTATGCAAGGTCAGAGAACAATATTGACAGTACAAACATTTCCCTGACATTGTCAGACTCAAAATAGGTATGTATGATGCCACACTTAGCTCTGAGGTGATCCTAAATGGAAGTAGGCATGACAGAAATTGTCCTGTATAAAATCCCTAGAGAGCATTGGCTCAGACCTCTTCTGAAAGTCAGTAGTTGCAACTGCAGTTGATATCCAAGAGAAGCCAAATAAAAGGGAGGGCTAAGAGGTTTTGATTTTTGTTCTTCATGCTTGTTTATTTTGTTGTGTTTGTGTTTGCATATTTTGGTCTTTAAATAAATAAAAATCATTTAACTGGAACACTCAAGTAGGCTAATTTTTCTAATAAAAGGGTGAAATGACTTTTTACTGATTGGAATCATGTACTACTATAGTAATTTTACTTTATATTACACTATTATCAACTACAGATATGTGTGACCTGCCAAGATGAGGATGTTTCTTGCCAGAGATAGACAATAAATAAAATGAGTTGACAGATTTATTTCAAAAGCCATATGTGCTGCTTGAGTTTGCTGCCATCCAGCAGGGGAGGTTTGCCTCAGAATGCCTCAAAAACACTCACCCTTTGTCTAACAAGGCCTCTGACCATAAGGGCTTGACAATTCACTGCTGAGACAAGTTCGATTTTCACAGTCTAGCAAGAATGTCAGCTCACTCATAAACACAAACTATTTCCCCTGTGTATATTCTGCCTAAGTCTGCAAGTCCTTTTGGCATCTTATCTTGACTAAAGATCACCCTAGCACACCAGGGCTTTCCTTCTCTCCTGTTCTGTTGTCTCCTCTATAAAATGGGCATGAGAACAGTCTGAGAACACTCTGTGGCTCAAGAAATCTCTAATGTTTTTCCTTCCAGCCTCCCTTCCCACTTCTAAGTGGATATATCTTAGAAACATTTGGACAACAAGGATCTCAACTCCTGGTTTATGTGCATCAGAACAGTGCACTGAATAGTACTTTAAGTACTAATTAATACCTTTTTTCTTTGCTATTTGATTCCTTTAAAGGTAAAGAGAAGATAAAATAACCTGTCTTATATAGAATGATTCTTATGTTTCCTTTAGCAGTTTCATGGATACCCAGTGAAACATATAGATTATCCTCTTCAGGGGCAGAGTCAACACTTCATGGTGAGTAATTGGGAGAATTTAGAGACAGGGAAGGTAATGGTTTGCTTTATTTGGGTAGATGTGAAAAAGTAAGAACAGATAGGAAGCAAATCTTAGCTAGCCATTTCAAGTGTATACTTTAAAATACTTTACTATTTCACTTATCTAAGTAAATATATAGTAACCAATTATCATTAGTGGCTACCAGGCATGGGAGAGGGGAGGAAATGAGGAATGCTTGTCTAGAGGGCATAGTTTGTTATTCGTACTAGAATAATTGGGAAAAGGATAGTGATGATACTTATACAGTGTGAAGAATTATGTAATCAATATCACTGAATTATGTAAGTAGGAGATGGTGAATTGGCAAATGTTTTGTAGTACCTATTTTTATCACAATTTTTTTTTAAAAAAGTACATCTTGATGATGAAAATGACAATGGTGAATTGGGAATAAATAGAACCAAAATTCTTCCCAGTCACACAAAGAACAGAATCAGAAGCCTTAGATTTTTCTGTATTCTATTTCAAAGTGAAATCTACACTACAGCATTTTTTTCACAATCATCTCTATGAAAAAATCCATGTCAATATTAACATCCCTTTGAAAAATGGAATTATTAAATAACATGGATTTGTCTGCTCAAATTTTAGGAAGACATTTCTGTTGACTTTATTAAGTCCCTTGAGGTAAGGCAGAAGCAGTGTTTTGATGGGCTGGACCTTTTATATCTTGGGACAATGGTGATGGACCCTAATGTTTCTATGATCTCAATTTATGATATTTAAATTTGCCCACTTAAATTTGTCATAAAGCTATCATTGTGTTGTTTGAAAGTGCCCTGCTTCTCTTTTTTTCTTTAAACCAATTAGAAATTTCACTCCTTTGAAAGCTGTTAGACAGATCCCAGGATCCCAGCCTTGCTGTGAATTGGTCCTCAGTAAACTTAATATATATTTTTGGGGCATTCAGGCTGTTCAGGAGCAAGGGAGATCCAATCGTGATTTTACTCCTCTTGTTTTGCTGTTAAGTGGCATTGACTCAGTTCCGATTCATAGAGACCCTCTATAGGGTTTCCAAGGCTGTAAATCTTTGCTGGAGCAAAAAGACTCATCTTTCTCCTGCATTACACCTCTTGAAGAGTTTGAAATGGCTACTAGATCATTCCGGCTACTACCTTCATATCTGTAGGTAAAATCTTCACCAGCACAACCAGAATTTCAAAAGTCCCCACAACTGCCCATGGATTTACTAAAAATAACCATATTTACATATTCAATCGGATGTTCTGTTTTGTTCACTCCGCAAGTATTTATTGAGTACCCAGCACTTTCCAAGTACTGTGCCAGTGTTGAAAGCACTGATTATAATTTATTGGAGGAAATATATTTTAAACAAATCATCAGACAATTAAATGCATTGAAACGTGTCATGGCGTAGCCCAAGGGATTATCAGACTGGAACAGAAATATTTAAATTGGGGAACAACTCAGGTCCCTTTGAGGATATGATAAACTAACACATGAAAAATGAGTAAGAACTAACCAGATGAAAAGTACCAAAAATCATTTCAGACCTGGGAAAAGTAGGTGAGAAAGAGATTGTTAGAATGAGGAGTATTCCTGTAATTTCGTTATTGAAAAATGTAATCTCTTATTTTGTACACCATAAGAGGCCAAGGGATTGTAAATTCACAGGCATGAGTAACCCTTTCACTTCAGGCTTGTGACCACTTGGCTGGTAAACTCTTTATCTTGATATTCAGTTTAATTCCATGTTGAAGGCTGTACAGTCTTCAGGTCATTGGAGCTTCAACCTCTATGGTGATTGGTGGTTGGTTATGTGCCGTGGAGTCGGTTCCAACTCATAACAACCCTGAATAGGGTTTCTGAGGCTTTAAATCTTTACAGAAGCAGAAAGTCTCATCTTTCTCCCGCGGAGCTGCTTGTAGTTTAGAACTGCTGACCTTGAGGTAAGCAGCCCGACTCATAACTACTACGCTCCCAGAGCTCCTGTCAACCTATATACAACATGCCAATACAGTGAGCTGCAAATCAAGGTCCTATCACTACCTATAAAATAGTATTGCTTTTAAAAACCACCTAGTCTAGAAATGGGACAAGATTAGAGCTCTGCTACTTCACTGAGACATTCTTGAACACAGTGATCTCATTTTCTGTGTTTGATTGGAAAAGAATTTATAGGAATTTATTTAAGACAAATTTTGTTCTTTAATTTCTTTAAAACTTTAGAGATAAAATATTATATCCTACTATATTACCAGCATTATTATTATTGTTAAGTGCCATTAAGTTGTTTCCTGCTCAAAGAAACCCTGTTCAAGGTTTCTACAGAGTGGCTGGTGGGTTTGAACCACTGATCTTGCAGTTAGCAGTCCAGTTCTTATCCTACAGCACCACATACAGTGGTGGCGGTGTGTCGTGAAGTCAGTTCCGACTCATATCAACCTTGCATAGGGTTTCTGAGGTTGTAAATCTTTATGGGAGCAGAAAACCTCATCTTTCTCCCACAGGATGGCCGGTAGTTTTGAACTGCTGACCTTGAGGTTAGCAGACCAACTCATAACCACTATGCTACCAGCACTCCTTACTTCACCACATAGAGAGCCCTAGTAAATTTTGAGTTGACTGTAACAAAATAGTTCTAGCTCAATCCTGAGGTGACGATCTGAGTGACTGATTCTTTCATGATCATAAACTCTAATGATTGGATCTATGGAGAACTCTGTTGTTGTTGTTGTTAAGTGCTGTCAAGTCAGTTCCGAATCCTAGTGACCCTCCATCTGTATTGTTAGTGCTCCACATGGACATGCATCAATCACTCAGTGAGCTGCCAGAGCACTCTCGATGCTTACTTTGACACTCATCAGTTAGAATGAGCATCAAGAAGACCTTGAACCCTTAAATTCACATTTGTTGTATGAAAAGGAAAATTTTTCACTACTAACAATCAGTGCTCGTGCAAAAAAGTCACATAGTTTCATTCCAAACTATGGAAAACAGAAAAGACTTGACAACTAACATTTTAAATCTTAGTCTTTGGTCTATATATATTTTTTAAAGACTTTACTATATGAAAAGCAGTGTAATAAAAACTGGGGCATTGAAAATTTATGAAAGTCCTAGTCGCCACTTGGTGTGGTGCTGTAGGATCAGCACTGGGCTGTGAACCACAGATCAGCAGTTCAAGCCCACCAGCTGTTCCTTGGAAACCCTATACAGAGTTACTATGAGTCAGAACGGACTCAACAGCACTTCACAATAATAACAGCAATCTCCACCTACAAGTAGTTTATAATCTAGTTGAAAACAATGAAAGAAAACCATTCTGATCCAAAAATGCTCTTTTTGCCCAAAGGATCTATGCCATATATATGTAATCCATAATTTATATGGAATTTCATTGGAGTGCTAGAAATAGCAAAAAAACCTGGAAGCAATTTAACCATGTAGCAGATTCACAAGTTAACTTGTTAGGGAACAGTTAAACATTAAGCAGGCCAATTAAATAAACCATGGTAGAACCACACTGAGAGACGAGACTTTACTGTCATTTTATAATTTCTGTGTAATGGTGTATAAAATATTCTGAGAACTTTTTTTTTTTTTTAAGAGGAAGAGACTAGGGACAGTATAGTGTATTTAACATGCCACCATTTCTAATATCCATGTTACTTGTATAGTCTTACATATGAATGAAAATTTTCAGATAGGACAAATAATTAACTATTAAATGTTTTATCTAAAGGATTAATAACTAGCTTCTGAGGTAGTAAGGACTATTTCTTTTCATTGTACTTTTATATATATTTCTGCACTGTCTGAATTTTTATCACATTTGCAAACTACTCTTTGGGAAGAAAAAATATATAATTGTGAGATTATAAACATTTCCTTTCATTGTCGGTCAGGCAGAAACAGATACCCTTATTTCCTAAGGGAGTTAATTTTCTTAATTCTTCATTTATCGAAGAGAAAAAAAAAACAGAATATAAAAATTATATTGCCTCTGTTCTAGAGTCTACAGTTTTCAGTAGCTTCTGATTCATACACCTTGAGTTGGTACTTAAATGTTAAAGATGTAATGAATGAATTGAGTAGAGATATAGGCCATGGACTGCAAGGTTGGCAATTCAAGCTCACCAGCCACTCCTAAACAGGGTTGCTATGGGTCAACAACAACAACATAGCACAGGTAACATAAACAACAACAAAAATCAATCTACTGATCTCCCACCAGTATCATTTTAGGCAGACTCTTAATTTCCATCTTCTCTTTTTTTTCAGACCATGTTGTTGTTGTTGTTGTTAGGTGCTGTTGAATCAGCTCTAATTCACAATAACCTAATGCACAACAATGAAACATTGCCAGATCCTGTGCTATCCTCACAACAGAAAAGACAAAACTAAGCAGCCCCAATCTTACCCTCTTTGATCTTTCTCCTTTTTGTGTTGTGGAACTGGGTAGAAGAAGAAGGACAGAAAAAGAGAGGAGATATAAAAGGATTTGAAAATCCTACACTGCCTATCAGTTCTTGGGTAACACTGAAATGAAAAGCCTTGGCTGACAGGCCTTTGAGCACTACAACTTCATGGATGTTAGTCAGGTCTAATTGGCTTTGGACTTTTAGGGCTTTGGAGTATTTAAATGCTTTATATATGTTCTTCTTACTCCTGACACATTAATTGTCTTCCGTAAGATAGCTAATGATTCTGTAGAGAATAAGAAAATCCAAAACTTGGCCTTTATTTTACATATGTTGTTGCTATTAAAAGCTGCTGAGTTGGTTCTGACCTATAGCAACCCTGAATAGAGTTTCTGAGGAGCAGCCGCTGGTGAGCCTGAACTGCCGACCTTGTACTTCAAACTGACTTTGCAGTCCAGCGCATTAACTCACAGCACCACACCCACAGCATCATACCAGAACTCTTTTATATATGATTTCCCCTTTATTGGAGTTAATTTGGAATACCAATTTACAGGAGTTCATTGCTGTTTATTCCTTCTTACAAATAACATATCCCTGGATGTTATGTGCCAGGAGTTGTCCAGATACTAGGGAAAATGGAGGGGAGACCAATTCTGGGAAAATCTAAGTGGCAAGACACTTATATTAAAAAGTAATTGTATAAATGTAGAAACAGAAACAAGAACAGTTTCAGGCGTGGTCCCAGAGTGTGATTGTGGAAAACACATATGTCATGACTACTGAAAAAAATGTTTCAGAAAGGGCAATCTTTTAATGAATGCTGTTTCCACACTAGTATCAAAGTTTGACACTGAAGCTCCTCTCCCTTTATGTCCATTGCAGGTACTGAGATTAATAAGCACAAAGATGGAATGCCTTGGCCAGTGACTGTTGCAACTTTGCTTTTTTTCTGCATGGTATGCTTTGGCCTGGGCCTGAGAAAATGGTGTCAATATCAGAAAGAAATGTGAGTAGTATAATACTGTGGTATGTAGGAACAGATCATTTTTCAAAACAAAATATTTACTCATCACTTTAGATGTTGTTACTGTATGGACTTTCTCTCATATTTCACTGAAGAAATACATCTCATTGAGGCTCAGAGAGGTTATATGGCTTTTCCAGAGCCACACAGTAGGGGTTATGTGCACAGCTCCTGACTTCTTCTCTTCCTGTGCCTGCTCAAGTTGTAACACTCACAAGGTGGAACAAGTCAGCAGGCATGAAATGAGAACAGAGCCTTACCTCACCCCAAAACTGAAACAGAGTTCTTTTAATCTTCATTAGCTTTTCATTTTCATGCATCTCTGAACTGCCTGGGCCCAGCTGGGCCTAGATGCTCAAGTGTGAAATTGAGTAAGAAAGGTAATTTTTGGATATTTCCAGCTTCTTTTCAGTTGAGTGGACTAATACTGCCCTTTTCTTTTTTCCCCAAAGGGAAGAGAAAGTAAGCATTGAGTTACTTCTTTGGGGTCTTATTGAAATATTTTCCACTTACCAATATGCAATGGGATATAAGATTAAGCTTCACTTTTCTGACATGGCGGTTTTAAGTTAGTCTGGATTTGATCAATTAAAGGAGACTCAATAATGCACAGAGCAGATCTTCCATATCAGTACTTCTACTACTATCTAAAATAACATTGACGCTTATGCAATATCCTCTTCTACCTTTTGGTAGCGTATCTTAAAGACTCTATCACCATGTGCTGGGAGTGTTTCATGGTGAACACTCGGTAGTCAGAAATTCTGGGTTCTCAGCCACCACATGAACTTTGAGAAATTAATAATTTATCCGAGTCTCCATTTAAAACAAACTGAAATACAAGTCTCTTAGAATTGTGTTCACCTTTTGATACATGTTAAGTTTCCATTGTTGTAGGTGGTGTTAAGTGCTGTCAAGTTGGTTCCGACTCATAATGACCCTGTATAGAATTTCTGAGGAGACTCTGGTGGGTTTGAACTGCTGACCTTGTGGTTAGTTGTCCATGCTTACCTTACACCAGGACTCCAATTCTCCACTAAATCATCAGAAAACCATACAGTAATCATTATGAATCTTTAGACTAAAACAAGAAAATGGAACTCAGAAAACAATCTGAATTAATTTTTTTAAGCTGAATTAGTTTTTATTGTTCTTTATTCAGATGCCTACAAAAATCTTATACAAGGCTGCTATGAGTTGGAACCAACTCAAAGACACTTAACAAAAACAATGTTATATACAAATGAGATCAAGAGAAAAATACTATACCAGCTCTTCTCCCTTCTCCCCACCGCTTCTCTCTCTCCCTCTCAAACAGGTGCTATGGATTGCCAGGCAAAATGCATATCTGTATCATATCTATATCTGGAGTCCTGGTGTGGTGCCTCAGGTTAATGCGCTGGACTGTAAGATCAGTTTGAACCACAATTTTGGTAGTTCAAGCTCACAAGCCACTCCTCGGAAACCCTATACAGGATCGCTATGAGTCAGAGTCAACTGGACGGCAGTAAACAACAACAATATCTGTATCTGTATCTATGTTATTATTAAGTGCCGTCAAATTGTTTCCAACTCACAGCATCTCTGTAAAGAGTTTCCGAGGCTGTAAATCTTCATGGAAGCAGAAAGCCTTCTCTTTTTCCCAAGGAGTGGCTAGTCAACTATGTAGTTAGTAGTCCAGTGCTTACCCTAAAGCTCCATCAGTGTTCCATGTCTCTATATCTATCTCTATATCTGAGGGGGTTTCAAAAATTTTGTGGGAAAGTTCTATTATGCATACACACACATAAGGGAACTTCCAAAAAGTTCAAGGGAAAATTCCATTGTCTTTCAATTCCATTTATCCATGAGTTTTTTTAAGCCTCATCTATCTATCTATCTATCTATCTATCTATCTATCTATCTATCTATCTATCTATCTAATCTATCTATCTATCATCTATCTATCTACATACTTCAGTCATCCTATCACATTCCTAGCCTTGAAAGAGTAATGTTTTATTCCTAGCATGGAAAGACCCCCACCTTTCAAACCTCCGCCACCTCCTATCAAGTACACATGCATTCAAGAGCCTATGGGAAGCCATGTGCCTTATCATGAGATGGAGACGCTCTAGATCTTGGAGACCTTGCCATACAGTAAAGTATGCTGGAATCCTGCTGAGAAGGTGATGTCGTACTTTATTGATATAATCACCATGTGCTGCAGCTGAAATGGATGACTGAATGAATGACACAGTAACACACCCTCTGCAAATGACTAGAATTTAAAGAAGAGTAAGAAAATATGTAGAACTCACACCCAATACAATCTGTAGGGGTTTTCTTGCAATGTAAGAGGTATAAATTAGGCTCCTGTTATTAAAATATATGTATATATATTCCAAATCCTTGAAGTGTTTTTATTTTTTTCATTTTAATTTATAGAATGAGATGTCAACAATTATTTCAAGTGTATGTCCATAAGCAGATCCTCTTCTCTTCAGGCATCTGCCAACATTGAGAAGTATTTGACAAAATTATGATAATTACAGAGGATTTTTTTTTCTTGATTTTGGCTTTTATTCCCTAATAAAATTTAAGAAGAAGATGTAATGGGCAAGAAAGTCTGAATAAAGGCAAAATGTGACTAGTCTTAGAACCCAAATTGTGTGATCTATCTTCACTGGAGGAAAAATAGAACACCAGGTAAAATAAGCTCATTTTGAATCTTCCTTCACCCCTCCTTCCATCAGATTCAGGCTTCTGCCCAAGGACCATAAGGAATGAGGAGCAGCCAGAGAGATCGCTAGTCAACAGCCAAGTAGCCCCATAGGTATAAGACTTCACTGGCCTCAAAAATGGTGTGAGGTAAGAGTGGTCTCGTTCTCCGTTTTACCTCTGCTTATGAGTTTACATGCATGAAACAATTGCCCAAATGTTAGAGAAGTGAACAAGCTGCCTAAACTCAATCCAAACTGTTTCACTTCCACTGTTCTCTATTTTATCTGGGGACTTTGCATCCAGCCTGTTTTGACCTCTCACAAAACAAATACCCTCAAAACAGACTTTTTATTTTTATTTTCCCAAATCAACTTGCGGTGAGACCATGTGTATCAGTGTAGAGCTGTGCTCCATGAAGTTTTCAAAGAATAATTTTTCTGAAGTGGATTGCCAGGCCTTTCTTCTGAGGTACCTCTCGGTGGACTCAAAAAAATCAGATTATTAACCATTTGCACTACCCACTAATGGTGAGAAATTACCCTGTTCCTACCAACTTTTACAAAACAATGGCAGAGAATAAAAAAGTGACAGAGAATAAACCAGGCTTTCTTCTGCCAGATCTACCCTGTAATCAACAATATTTTGTGAGTGAATAAATTACTGAACCTCAATCCTTCCCACTGCCCTGCCCTAGAAGAGAAGAACAGATGTTGTAAAGAGATAAAATAATAGGTAAAATCTGTGTGGAGTTTAGTCTCAAAAGGAACCTCTAGTTCACTTACATTGTACTTCACCCTGTCTATATATGAGAATCACTTGGATAGTTTGTTTGGGGGATTTTGTTTTTGTTTTTGTAATACCATGTCTGTTCTGCTGCAAACCAAGTAAATTAGACTCTCTGAAGTGTGGGACCCAGACATCAGCACTCCCTGATAATTCAAAGGTTTACTCAAGGCTGTGAAACCCCTTTCCTTGATCTGACTTCCTGGATAGGAGTTTAATTAATGTTAAACAGCCTCCAAGATGGTCCCTATGACTCTTGTCTCCTGGTACTCGTGTCCTTACATGGTCCTATCCAGCACTGAATAGAAATAACTTGTACAACCCAGGCCAAGACTAAGATGAGGCATCTAGGGCACAAAACTTAAGGAAGTATTCATACTCAACGTCAAGCAAATGCCAACCCTGACACTGCATGCCAGTCTCAGACCTGGTATAGCCAGTGTTATGGAGTAGGAATGGTAAGAGAGTGACTCCCAAGTTTCTGTCGTAAAAAACATTGTAGCTCTTTCCTTTTTCTTTGATTACTTGTCCTGAGAGAAGTCAGTTCCATGTCATGAAGACACATGATGTAGTCCTAGTGAGAAGTCCACATATCAAGGAACTGAGGCCTCCTGCTAACAGTAAGCATCAAACTGCCTACTATGTGAGCGAGCCATAATGAAAGCAGATCCCCTTCAAGTCCAGATAACTGCAACTTCAGTTGGCCTTTTGCCTCCTGGGACCTCATAAGCGATCCTGTGTTAATGAACCATTCATCTGAACCTCTTCTTAACAACTGACCTGCAGATATGTTGTGAGATAAAAAATTATTATTGTTTTAAGCCACTAAGTTTGGGGGAAATTTGCTACAGATAAATACAGAGCAGTAGATAAGTAATGCAACTCAATAAATGGAAAAACAAGCTAAGGTTTGCCTTTCTCAGTTAGTCTTAATTTCTCATTGTTGTTGTTGGGAAGTGCTGTTTGAGGCGATTCTGACTCAGCGACCCTGTATTGGGTTTCTGAGGAGCAGCTGGTGGTTTGAACTGCCAACCTTGTGGGTCTGTAGTCCAGTGTTGATCCTACAACACCACACCAGGAGTCCACCTCTCATTAATTCTTCAGGGAAAAAAAAACAAAAGAGAGAGAGCAAGAGAGACCAGCTCATATATATAATTGTTGCTTCATGTATATAGTTATTTTTATTTAGTACAACTGAATCATCAGTAATTTGTATAGAAGTCATTGCGGTTTTAGTCATTGTTTCATTTTTGTTGTTATTAAGTACCGTGGAGTGGGTTCCGACAGGGTTTCCGAGGCTATAAATCTTTACGGGAGCAGAAAGCCTCATCTTTCTCCCGCGGAACAGCTGGTAGTTTCAAACTGCTGACCTTGAGGTTAGCAGCCCGATTCGTAACCACTACGCTACCAAATACAAGTGGGTATCAGGGTAAAACATGTCAGAGTTATAAGATTCCCAGATTGTTTCTATGGAGGATTACAATTTCACAGTACAACAAAAGCCCATGTAATTTCGTTCTATCATATCACAGGTGTCCAGTATTTTCATATTAGTTCTTCCTTTCAGTACTGTCTTTTGGTTTTGCAAATAAGTTCTCGTCAGCATTTGCAAATTCATCTTCCCCTAAATAGATCAAATAGTCATTTATCCATGGGGAGATGCTCAGTCATCTCAGAGAAATATTTACAAACCTACAAATAGAGGGGTGTAAGTCCTTTAGGCAATGATGTGAATTTGACATCCCTCATTAGACTAAAATGACAGTTTCACCTAAAAAGTGTGTGCAGATAAATCAGTATAGAGCTTGTCCCAAATCAGCAACTGTTACCTTCCAAGAAGTGGATTCAGTTCTGTACTACATGAGAAAAAAACAGCAACATTCATCCCTGGAATTTCTGCCTATTTTCATCACCGTCGTATTTTTCACTGAGAAAGATGTTTTTTTCCCACTCATTTCCAGAGCACAGTGTGTTCAATGGCATAATTGCCCAGAAATATTTACCACCATATACACCTGCAGCAGGAGAACTGGTGTGTGGCACTGTAGAATAAGCACTGGCCTGCAAGGTCATTTGAATCACAAGGTTGGTGATTCAGACTCACCATCTGCTCCTCGGAAAGTTTATACAGGGTCACTATGAGTTAAACTGATTCAAAGGCACTTAACACCAACACCTGCAGCAAGAGCACCCCTTCACTTTGAATTTGGCTGTATGACTTGCTTTTGTTATTGTTGTTGTTGTTAAGTGCTGTGGAGTTGGTTCCGACTTGTGGTCCAGTAGTTATCCTATAGCGCCAAACCAGGATGATGGACTCTTATGGGCATGGCTGGCCCAAGGCTTGAACAATGCTTGTATGATTGGGCTCACTCTCTTTCCTTATCATTGTCATGATGACATTTTAGGCAATCCCACTAATTCCAAGAATAAAATGATAGACTCATGGAGCAGAATAGAATCATCCAAGCAAGGTGAAGCCTAGGTCAGTCAGTTCCCAGTCTATCCCAACAGGCACATATGTTGAATATTACTATATGTCACTGAGATTGTGTGATTTTGACATGACATGACTGCGCTAATAACCACTAGACAAAAGGTCTCCCACCACCACCACCAAGAAAACACACACACACACACACACACACACATACACGGTTGTCATCTAGTCAACTCCAACTCATGGAACCTCATGTATTATCAGAGTAGGACTGTTCTCCATAGGGTTTTAAATGGCTGATTTGGGGGGAAATATAAAACCATACCAAGGCAAATGATAAAGTCATGGGGTTAAATTGAAACAACAGATAAATCTAGGTAAAGGAAATGAATGTGTATTGTTGTTATTTATTTTTTATAGGGAGATGGAGAGACCTAATTTTATGTTTTTAATTTTTTATTGTGAAGTTAGTGAATATTTGCAGAACAGGTCATCAGTTTTACACTCAGTAAATCCTCCACTTTGTTTCATCTCAATGATTACAATCCCCACAATGTACCTCACTCATCCCACTTCCTCCCTGTGTTTCTTGTTTCTACTCCTCCTTCTTTCCCAACCCTTCTGAATTTTGTCCTCTTCAACTGTTGACCTTTCTGTGGTGAGCACGCCTCACTATCGTTGTTCCCCTTATATATTCCTCTCTTGTTTGACTGAAAATTGCATCACAATGGTTCTAGACCTAAAAGGTGACCAAGGCCCATGGTCTTGGGGTTCCACCAGTCTCTATCTGACTAGTAATCCTGGTCTTTTTTATATATTTGAGTTTTGTTCCACATTTTCTCCCACTCTATCTAGAACCTTCCAATGTGGTCCCTTTCAGAGCAATTGGTAGTGGTAGTCGGGTACCATCTAGTTCTTCTGGTCTCAGGGTCTATTAGTCATTTGGACTAATTGTTTCCAAATGTCTACAATTTTCATCACTATTCTTTCCTCCAGACAAGGAGAGACCAACAGTTCCACCCTTAGATGTCTACTCAGGAGCTTTAAAGGTCCCAGTCTCTACTTACCAAAATAGGATGTAGAACATTGCCTCTGTGGACTATATTATGCCAATTGACCATGGTTTCCAAAGGCTAGGGTCCTGAGCCCCTAGACCCAGAAATTCATTCACTCAAGATGTGTAAGAAGTTTTTT